TTAATTCCCTTGCCTTTGGGGATGTGTCGAGGAAGAGATTGCTACGGCTGAGGTCAGAGAGGTCTTTTCCTGCTTTCTCCTCTAAGGTTTTGATGGTTTCCTGTCTCACATTCAGGTCCTTTATCCATTTTGAGTTTATTTTTGTGAATGGTGTGAGAAAGTGGTCTAGTTTCAACCTTCTGCATGTTGCTGTCCAGTTCTCCCAGCACCATTTGTTAAAGAGACTGTCTTTTTTCCATTGGATGTTCTTTCCTGCTTTGTCAAAGATGAGTTGGCCATACGTTTGTGGGTCTAGTTCTGGGGTTTCTATTCTATTCCATTGGTCTATGTGTCTGTTTTTGTGCCATAGATTTGACATTTTAAAAATATTTTCTACAAATTAAATACCTCCAACGAATAGCAGTTTTCATTTTTTTTAAACTGAATGTTAAAGTTTTAAATATTTTTAGCACAAAATGGCCAATATAGAAAATTTATATAATTATTATTTTAAAAAGTGAGCAAACCCATTTCAATAATACAAGCCCTGAGATCCTCCAGGAAATTAATAAAGGATCTCAGGCTTGCACATGTATATGTGCTCATGTACACAAACACAGCTGTGCTACAGATAAAGACCAAAACTATAACTAATGTTTCTTATACAGCTGCCCTCCTGCTAAAAATGAATGAGTGAAGAAACTAATCCCAATGGAAGAGTTCCAATTTTATTTGAGTACGAATCAATCAACCAGTAGATTGTATTTACATTTAAATAATGTCTGCACAGTGAAGGCAGATCTTGGTTATTAGTCCATTATGAAAGCGTGGTCGAAGTCAGAGCACAATCAGATACTCATCTTCAGCACAGCTTGTTTCATAAATGATATTTCTTATCAATGAAATGGGTGAAACCAGAACTAGACCCAAAAAATGCCAATTTCAAGTAACTAATTCACCATTAATATTTCTCAATATTTGAGTATTTTAGAAGCTGAGAAGCTAAAAAAACTGAAGATATAATTTAAGTAATGTGTCAGTATCACATACTATGAATAGGTTATATAGTAAGATGTATTTGAAAAAAAGCAAAGAGAAAATTCAACACTGCTTTAGATTTTGTTCTTCTGAACAAACGGTTCTAAGCTTCAATGAATTTAGTTCTAACTAAGCTTCAATGAATTTTCTTAAATGGTCAAGCCATTAAATAAAATGACAATACATTCACAAGGCGCATTATATTCTGTTTTTATTAAGCTCACTGTGAAAGAGAACAACTAGCTATGCAAGAAAAGCTGGAGATAATACTAAATCAACTTTGCAAGTTGTGCATATTAAAAGTAGACAACATTGGTTCATTTAGGGAAAAAGGTAACAATATTTATTCAGACTACTAAAATTTCTATTTCCTGGTGTACCTCAGCTTCTTGGGTTACTCCAAGCAAGTTACTCACTACCTGGTTCAGATTTTAGCTATACTAATATTTACCTGGAAAATGTTCTACATAATTCGATCTTCTAGATAACTTATGTTTATTCCATTACGCAACATTTTATATTTTAACTATTTTATAGACATTTTTCTAGAAGACTTTACCTACTATTTCCCTGTATTCTTTAAAATAAGAGTTGCAACTTAATTTGACCTTTTCCTACAGATTTAGTCATAACATGAACTGTACTGCTGTGCTTTGATCTTATGTTTTCTCACCTCTGCTTGATGTCACTTACTGATGACAGTGTGTTCTTGATGTTTCTGATGACTAGATGAGAACCTGAGAGTGGTCTATATAGGCTCCTAAGCATAAAAGACTTGTGCTTTGTGATACCTGACTACTCTGAGTTCTTTTTCTCTTCCTCTTTGCTTCCCTGTCTGGTTTTTAAAAGACTGAAGTTACCATATAAAATTACAGCAAAATAGGCTGTTAGCACTGGGAAGCAAGTTTAAAGAGCTCCAGGTACCTGAACATGAAAGCAGAAAAACACCTTCCCTTAGAAGGCAGCAATGGCTAATTTGTACAATGAGGTCCCCATTCCTTTTTCCCTAGGAACTGGAATCAACCATGTCAATTACATGACATTCTTCTCTCCACAGATGATCTAAAAGCATACCCTCGACACTGCCTGCTCATTAGATGCAAAGAACAGAAACAAAGAAAGAAACAATAGCAGAGATGTCCAATTACCCACGGGGTTTAAGAGTTATGTGAAAATGATAATATGCTTAACATTTATTTATATATGACAAAGAAATGTAAATGACACTGAATCTCAGTTTATGTCTCTGGTGGGTGCTCAGAAGTCAGAATATAAAAAGATACAATTTTGTCTGGCTATTTAAGAGGCTAACACAACAAGACTTCTGAAAAACAATGGAATTCTTGAAACTGTCAAAAATATTTATTAAAACCCCAAAGTACATAATTAGAATTACAGAAAATCTTGATTTTGTTCTCTCTACATATATAATGAATGAATCACAAAATTAGTTATCCAACTTTTTTTCCCACTGTGTTAACTAAGCAACACAGACCCCAAGTAAAAAAAGAAATTCTGCCTAAATAAATTGATGACCTACTTCTCTCTACCAAATAAGTTCTTATGACTCAAGTTTTACAGACATTATTCTAAGCCAATCAAATATTAGTTGCTTACATAATAAATAATACAACCATTTTGGCTACAGTAGATTGTCACTGCTCTGAAGTAATTATATCAGGAAACGGGAAAAATGTGAGGTAGTCTTTGAGTAACTAATAAAAATTTATTTTACTTTCAGTTTTTCCTACCAGGATGAGGGGAAACAAAAAAAGACACATGAAAGACTAGCCCTACTCATCTAGTTGGCTTGAATAAATTACAAATTACCACTTCACTTCTGCTAGCTGGCAATGTCAAACACTACTGATTCATAGAAAATAAAGTAATAACAATGTACCTCGGCAAAAAAAAAAAAGACAAAAAAGTTATCCATAAAGCTTTTTTTCCCCACATATAACCCAAAGCTACCCAGTTAATGTATCTCCAATATCTTGCAGCTAATGATAAAATTAAAACTATTCAAGATGATAGCTTTCTGGTGGCACTATAAGCATGTATCACTAAGGCAGAACTTTCCAATGGCTAAAGGAGTCATGAAATAAAGAAAGGACATATTCTTTATTCTTTTGATCTTGGACCAAATAAATTATTCTGTTCCCCTATCTGTAAAATGGGGGCAAGCTGGAACACTGAAAATTTATTACTGGTAAAGTGTTTATAATCTTCAGGTAAATGTTATATAAAAATTAAATACTTGGTTTATACCTTGTTTTAATTCCAAACCTTCAGGTTGTTTGTTCTCTCTCACGGTTGATGTAGAATCTATACAGATGTCTTGTCTGAGGAATAAAAATAAATAAAAACAATTTTTACAACTCTATTCAGTCAAGTAATACTTACTGCTCAGGTTCCCAGAATTAAATCAGACACTTGGGAAGACACATGGAATTCTTCTGAACCCCCAGGATATCATTTAGTACACTTTGGAAGCTCAGAAACATGTGTATACAAGTGTCAAAAGCAGCAGAAACCACTAACAATTTAGGTAGTACACATCTTTGTAAAAATTAAGGGGCAAAAATGTCCATCGATAGATGAATGGATAAAGAAGATGTGGTGTGTACACACACACACACACACACACACACACACACACACACACACACAATGGAGTATTACTCAGCAATCAAAAAGAATGAAATCTTGCCATTTGCAACTATGTGGTACTAGAGGGTATTATGCTAAGTGAAATTAGAGAAAGACTAATATATGACTTCACTCATATGAGAACTTTAAGACAGAACAGATGAACACAAGGGAAAGGAAGCAAAAATAGGTATAAAAACAGGGAGGGGGACAAAAATATAAGAGACTCTTACTTAAATATAGAGAACATTGGGGCGCCTGGGTGGCTCAGTCAGTTAAGCGGCCGACTTCGGCCCAGGTCATGATCTCGCGGTCCGTGAGTTCGAGCCCTGCGTCGGGCTCTGTGCTGACAGCTCAGAGCCTGGAGCCTGTTTCAGATTCTGTGTCTCCCTCTCTCTGACCCTCCCCCGTTCATGCTTTGTCTCTCTCTGTCTCAAAAATAAATAAACGTTAAAAAAATTTTTTTTTTAAAAAAGAGAACAAACAGAGGGTACTGGAGGGGTTGTGGGAGGGGGGATAGGCTAAATGGGTAAGGGGCGTTAAGGAATCTACTCCTGAAATCATTGTTGCACCATGTGCTAACTAACTTGAACGTAAATTAAAAAAATAAAAGAAAAACACAAGAAAAAAAATTAAGGGCAAAACTGGAGAAATATGGAGGTAACTTTTCTCACTTCCAATACCTTGCAGGATAGCTGGTGGGAGAAATCAAAACTTAAGAGGAATCCAATAATTTTTCAAGTGTTAAATTTAATGAGCACTTTGGCATTCAAATTATTTTATATTCATCTAATTTCATACCTCAAGTGCTTTGATGTGGGAAATACATATTTTACATGTAATATACATATGTAATCAAAGTAAATGGATTCAAGTATAAGATCATAAAAAAGTTTTGATCCACCATGTTCTCTAACAGAGCTGCAAACTAAACTAATTAATGTTCTTTCTTAGAGGGCATTATACCATCTAGATATTAATATTGCAAATACTTTTTGGCAAAAGAAATTAGTTGCGAACATTCAAAATGACTTTTCTTTATAAATAAATATTACCTTTTGGAGAATTTCTATATACATCCTAAAACTAACATACAAGAAATATTTCAGGAATTTTCCTGCTCACAAATCTATTTCTTTATTTTAAACAAAGTTTATTTATTTATTTTGAGAGAGATGGGGGAGAAAGAAGGAGGGAAGGGCAGAGGCGGGGGGTGGGGAGAATCCCAAGCAGGCTTTATGTTGTCAGTGCACAGATGGACACAGGGCTCAATCTGTGAGATCAAGACTGAGCCAAAATCAAGAGTTGGACACTCAACCTACTGAGCCACCTAGGCACCCCTCCCAAAAAGATTTCTATCCACTTAATAACACATCCTTCAAATAACCAAAAGATAAAGACCTGTGATCATTTCTTTAAGTTTACAATATTCTTTCCAGTCAACATATTTGGTACTTATGTGTTTTGCATTAGAATTTTACTAATGCAAGCACAAAGTGAAATAGAGACTATAAAATTCTTTGGATCTGATATTAATTATAACATATAAAAGATTTAAAGTTGAAATACATATTTTATACCTCTTTCTGTCTAATATCACCTACTCAGTATTTATTCTTTCACCAGAATGACTGGCAGATCCCAAGGAAGATACCAACAAATATTCTTTGGTAATCCAGGGACAGATAAAATGCCAATATACTACATTAAGAGCTTTGCAAGGAAGAAAGTTAAAATGTGCTACCTCACGCCTTATAGTCAAATTAGATTTTACCTACTGGGAACATTAATCTATTTCTAAATATCTTTCTTTAGATAAAATGTTTGCTCTTAAACATCCTTGAGTGGGCACCACTCAATTCTTCTTCTAAACACATAACATCTAGAAGACTTGAACAAAAACATAATGCAACATCACCATTAAAAGAGCCATGGACATCTGTAATACGCTAATAAGAAGGACACAACATCACCTATGCAATATTATAGCTGAGAGTGTATGACCTGTTTCATGAAGAAATCTTCAGTCAAACCCAAAAAAGGAAATAAGTAATGTTCAATTAAAAGTGGGTGGGGAGTTAAATGTCAATGTATAAAAGACAAAAAAAAAAAAAAAAAAAAAAAAAAAAAAAAAAAAAAAAAAAAAAAAAGGTTGTGGAAATATTCTAGGTTAAAGGAGGCTGAAGAGCCATAACAATTAAATGTTATAATTCACTTGAGACTGCTGAACTGGAGGGGGAAAAAATGTTGTAAAGGACATTACTGAGTCAAATGACAAACAAATACCGAAAGCAGACTGAGTAAAAGTGTTGTACCATTGTTAAATTTACTGAAGTTGACACTGTATTGTGGTTATGTATAGACTACTGATATCCTTTAAAAAAATCACAATGCAGTATTTAGGGGTAAAGTGTCATGATGTATGTAACTTACAGCCTCAAATGTTTTAGAAAATAGACACACATCTATGTAAGAAGAGGGTACAAATGGGATAAAATTTTATTAATATATTATAGAGGAATCTAAATAAAAGATATATGGATACTTCTTGTACTATTCTTATTCTTATAACATTTTAATAACTGTGAAGTTATTGTCAAATAAAAATTTTTAATAATAATGCAGTAAAATGCATTATTCTATGCATTATTTTATTTTCTCTGTGAAAGCCCCTTGATTGTCCTTCAAATAAAACTGGACATCTCTATAAAGATTACCTGCTTCCATAAAGAATTGCTTAAGTGCCCAAAGTGAACTTTTATAACATTCTGTTTTATTTTAAGTTAGGCTTGAACATGCCATTAAAGAATGTCACCAAACAGAATTTCAAAAGTAGACGCAGTACAAGTGCACCACCTTGTGGCTGAAAAATAAAACGCAAGATACTTTTACTTCAGTAGTATGTGAAGTTGAAAAAATATTCCAGAAAATAGCCTGGAATTTTAAAATCTATACTAGTTCATTTTTCCAACATGTAGACTTTGCAACTAAAACTACCATACACATTCAGAGCTCTCCAATACAATTTAAAGATCCTTAACAAAGAGCATGGAAAGCAAGATATACCAAAAAAGGAAATGTCTTAAAATATAAGAAACCTACAAGTACATGTCTTTTTATTTCTAGTTTTATGAAAATAAAAAATGTCTACTCCCAGATAAGAAATACTAGGTGTCAGAGTTAGGAAAACTAAAGTAATTCCAATTTATATTTAAATGACATTTAAATATTTCTGTCACACCCTTTAGATAAGAATTTTGTAACAACTGGAGAAAGAGAGATGGCAAGAGAAAAAAGTGGGGGATGGAGGGGGACACATGCTTAATCTGGTTTGGGTTAATAATCTTAGGATGACTTTTGTAGTCCTTTCCATTAGGGGGGAAAAAAAGCCTGTTTTTATTTTTCTACTTCCTTTCTCACATCCGCAGTGCTCCTCCTTAAAGCAGCTTAATTTACAATCTTGGCTTTGAAATATAAGACAGCCTTATACCCACCTCTGGGGTTTAAGTCCTCCAACCAGTATAAGTCCAACTTACTTTCTTTTACCCCAAATACAATTCCACTCTTGACCTTTTTTTTTTTACAACAAAATAGAAAATAAACTATTGGGATTGCATCAAAATAAAAGGTTTCAGCACAGCAAAGGAAACTATGAACAAAAATAAAAGTCAACCTACGAAATAAGAGAAGATATTTGCAAATGACATATCCAATAAAAGGATATATTCAAATATTCAAAATATACAAAGAACTTATAAAACTCAACACTCAAAGGATATTTTTTTTTTAAGTCAGAGTAATACATTGGGGAGATCTGTGGAACTTAAGAACCACTACACATGTGAATTACCAAAAGTTTCAACTTTTGGTACTTTTAAAAGGGAAAAAAGTCAAATTCTATCCAAATAAAAAATACACAGGGGGTGCCTGGGTGAGTCAGTCAGTTAAACGTCCCACTCTTGATTTCGGCTCAGGTCCTGACCTCACAGCCCAGGATGGGCTCTGCCTAGACAGCATGGGGCCTGCTTGGGATTTCCTCCCTCCCTTTCTCTGTCTCTGTCTCTCTCTCCTTCCCCCTCCCTTCCTCTCTCCCTCCCTCCCCGACTCATGCTCTCCCTCTCTCTCTCTCAAAAAGAAATAAACATTAAAAAAAAAAATACAAAAGGAAGATACCTCAAGGATAAAGAAACCAGACCAACCAGCCAGTGTCTTCCCATTTTGGCAAAAGCTGACAATCAGGCAAATTGGCATAACAAAAGGTGTAACTCTGGATTCTCTCCAGATTCCAGGGAATAGAAACAGAGGCTAAAAGAAGCCAGCCTATCATTCTATGAGCTTCCTACTATTAAAAATAAGAAACAGGCAAAGAAACTGGAGTAGCCAAAACAGAAAAAAAAAAAAAAAAAAAGTTGAAGGATGTACATTATCAGATTTCAAGACTACAAAGCTACAGTAATGAAGACACTGATATTGGAAAAAAGATGAACATATGTACTGATGGAACAAAAGAGAGCCCAGAAATAAACCCACATATACATCGTCAACTGATTTTCAACAAAAGTACAAAGGCAATTAACAAACTGAACGAATGGTACAAGTACAACTGGATATCCATACGGATATAATTTTCTTTTTAATTTTTTTAATGTTTCTTTTTTGAGAGAATGAGCATGAGTGGGGGAGGGGCAGAGAG